GCACCGTTTCAAAAGTACCGGTTTGGCACCGGTATCGGATAAAACCTAAACGATACCCATCCCCAATTCCCCTAGTTACCTGCATGTGTATAAACAACCCTGAATTAGACAAAAGGTTGAGAAAATTGGTGGCTGGTGGATCAAGCAGGGAATTGCCTGCTGTGGACTGATGTGTGCATGTGTCCTGTAAGTTTTATAATGACGGAAAGTTCAGCCTATCAGACTGGACTTACGCTTGGTGATCACTCTGTTGAGAACGTTTCTCAGTTCGTTGGCTGTTATTTCCATATCCTGTGAAAACAAGAAGAGCAGAGGGGGACACCAATAAAGAAGAGACAGGAGATTAATTTCCAAAGTACAGCAATCGCCTAATGTTTTCTGCTAATGAAAAACACAAAATGTTCTGTTTTGGGGGTTTTTAAATTTAAAGCTATTCTCCTCGTCTTTCTGTACTGACCTCGCCGCCTATCTCCTGAAAAATAGTCCGGAACTGCTGGTCCTCCTCGCTCTCTTCCCCCGCTGAAGCTGGTGCTGGCTGAGGCGTCATTGAGCCACAAAGCATAAGAAGGAAAAACTCTGAAGATGATCCTTTCCAAGTTATTTGTTCTTTACATTACAAACTGGTTATATCCACAATTGCAGAACAAAATAAGATAAACTAAAGCAGCTGAAGCTTTTTGCTGCTTATTTCTGTAACTTGCCAAAGTAAACAGACACTTAGATATACTTGGAAGAAATATTGAGGCAATCCCTGTGCTGCAGTAGCTCTACACACTCTGGAAAACTAAGAGGACACTTACCACTGGATGGTCAGCCTCGATCCTGTTCTCTATCTCCCTGAGTGAAGACGAACAAACAGCAGTCACCACGGTGACACCATCATCTCATCTGGACTATAAGCCTCTGCTTTTTTTTCTTTTCTTACTGCAGTCATCAAATTTATTCTCATCAAATTTTGCATGAATTATGTTGATGTGCTGAATCTGTAAGTCATCTGACAGATTTATTATAAAGGAGTTTATAGGCTTATAGTCCCCAAAGTCACATTGCACTAAAATATGAAAATGACTGCATAAAACGCTTAATGGAGCAAATGGAGCTGTTAGTTTTGTATCACCTGCTGCTTCCTCCAGTCAAGTTTTGTTCTTCCCGATTGTTCTTATTTTGGGCGAACTTGATTGTCACCAGAACTTTCCATTTTTAATTAGTTTAGGTAATTTGTGACATGCATAGTTAATGGTGTCATAGTATACTGTGATCTAAAGCCATGTTAGGTAATTCAAAGCCCATCCGTCTCACACCCTGAGTCACACCCAAGTCCGGGTCCATCAGAGTTCAGGCCGGCTCTGCATGCTGTCTGGTCCTCTGGGCAGCAGTGGGATGGTTGGGAGGTGCAGATGTTTGTTGAGGCTTGAGTATGCAGTACTAAATATTTAGAAAGTTTACCAGATCATCCCCAAATCTGAAGATGCTTGTCCTAAAAAAGATTCCATAACAGCTTCGAACTCGGGCCGATTTCTTCTGATTCTACAAATCAAATCGCCGTTAAAATAGTTTGTTCTTGGTGGTTTGTGTCCCACCCACCAAGCAGAAAATCCCACCCTCATTAACAGACACAGAGACACACAGGGTAGAGAAATCCCTCATAAACTCCAAGTCTAATTAAACTGCACATACAGTTGGGCTGGGTATTGTTGTGATTTTATCTATTAGTTTGTTTTAGGGTTTGTAAGACTTTGCAAATGTGTAAATGTCAAACGATTGCAGAAAAATGTAATGACTCCTGGGCTCGGTGGAAGGAAGATTTGACACTATATAAATCAAACTGAACTGAAACTGACTATCTTTATAGTACAGGACTCAGAACTAAGATGCATTGATCTAAATACAGGCACTGCAATATAATATATTTAATAATTTCTGTATACCTCTTTGTTTACCCTAACCTTTATTATATAACAGATTCTAATCTTAGAATCTGAATTACTGCTGTTCTGTCAGACACAAGGTGTTTTTTGGCATTATTTAATGCAGAACGATAAACGTCCTCCTTCTTTTTCACATTTACTCGCAGGTTAGATTTAGGTACTGAAAACATTTGGATATTTTGAGGAAAAGATACGTCTGGAAAAAAATATACCTCATTACGTTAACCCTGCAAAATGAAAACTGAAGCTCCCCCACTGTGTGTTGAGATTTCTATAGCCATGAAGATCAAACCCTACCCTCATTATTTAAGAGTGCTTTGACTTTATCTTTAACACCGGTAATAGGAAAATGTTGATAAATAACTATCTTAGCAAACAGCCAATGCGCTGTATTCCAATACCCAGCCCTACTAAGAAATATAAGATCAGAACACATCCAACTACAATTCTGCACCTTACTAGAAGGAAAACTACTTATATAACCATTCCCACCTCATGGCATCTTAGGCCACCCTGATCACCCTCTCCCACTCACTCTGAGGTGTTCTTCTTTTCAGAGAAGACTCGCAGGATGAACTCTCCCTCCTGGTGTGGCTCATATGTGGAGGGTACTATGACGTACTCGCCAGGGCTCAGGCGGAAACGCTGGGTCACCTCACGCAAGTTGATGTAGGATTTACAGCGCGCCTTGGAGGAGTTGAATAGGAAAAAATCCTTCTGCATGTGCTGCTTGTTTCCATGCATCTGGTTTGGGGTAGTCACAATGTAAAGAGCAGAAAATGCAAAATAGTACTGAAGAATTTCCTCAGAGTTAAAGTTGGTGATGAAAAAAGAAATTGGATGAATGGCTATGAAAATATAAAGCGTGGGGTGGAATTAACTCGCAAACTGCTGAGAATCCCTTTCACGCCTTCCTTACCTCCTTTGGCACCTGTCGAGAGAAAATAGCAACATCAGTAACAACATTAATTTTAACTGCGGCAGAATCAAATCGACGTATCTTTGTCTGTAAAAAAAAGGAAAGCTGTGAAAGTAAATTAGCAACAGAGGCTGGAAAATGGAAAAGTCTTGGAACAATGATTAAAAACCGAAGTGGACACCTCGTAAATGGCGAATCCGATGGTGAAGAGGTTGGCTCCCATCTTGCGCTCTTTCCGTCTGTTCTTCTGCATCAGCGCCACCACAAAGGTGCAGGCCACCTCGTTGTCCTCAGGGTCATCATCCTCCTCCAGCAGGCGAAGGCGGTACTGAGGATTGGTCCAGAAAGTGTCTGCAAGAGAGTTGGTTACTGTTCTCTGACTCTCT